AACTAGCGTGGCAGTGGGGTAGGCGTAGTAATCATGACCCCCGAAGGGGCAATAATCGAGCAAGCTGTCAAACTGGGCTTTGATGCATCAAACAATGAGGCCGAATACGAAGCATTGTTAATCGGCCTACGGAATGCACTTCACCTCGGTGCACAGCGTCTGCTTGTTTTCTGTGACTCGAAACTAGTCATTAACCAGTTGAAAGGGAAACATGCAGCCAAAAATGACCGCATGGCAGCCTACATGAAAATGGCCAATTCTTTGCTCGCGAAATTCGATCATCAAGAATTGAATCAAATAACCTGGGATCAAAACACGCATGCGGAGGCCCTGGCTTGCCTAGCCTCTACTATCAACTCAGAAATTAAACGGACAATCGAAGTAGGATTCATCTTTGAGCCGAGCATTGCCTCTTCTGAATCAGTTCAGATCAACATCATTGAACCAAGTCCAAATTAGATAGACCCTATCACTGCATTCCTGTCCTCAGAGCAACTCCCGATGGATAAGAAAGAAGCACACAAACTGCGAAACAAAGCCCTGCGATACTACTTGGATCCGTAGGTGAAGCTCTACAAAAAATCCTTTTCTGGGTCATACTTAGAATGTGTTCACCGGATAAAGTTGAGGAACTCTTGGCTGAAATACATAAAGGCAACTGTGGTGCCCATTCTGGAAAACGTTCTTTGGCCCATTGAGCCATAACACAGGAGTACTATTGGCTAACCATGCGAACAAATGCCGAGTGTTATGTCAAGAAATGTGAACAATACTAGAAGTTTTCCACTTTAACTCATCTGCCTACCGAGGAGTTAAACTCTATCACTAGTCCTTAGCCGTTCACTCAATGGGGACTTGATATCATTGGACCATTACCACGGGCTCCAGGGAATAAGCAATTCTTGATTGTCGCGACAGATTATTTCACAAAATGGGTCGAAGCAGAGGCACTAACACATATTCAAGATTTCGACGTTAAGCGTTTCGTATGGAAAAACATCATAATGCGATTCGGCATACCAAGAGCACTTGTCTTAGACAACGGCACCCAGTTTGATTGTGGCGTCTACTGAGAATTATCCAACACGTATGGTATTCAGCCCTACTTTTCCTCACCGGCTTATCCACAAAGCAATGGTCAAGTGGAGGCCTCCAACAAAGTCATTCTAGACAGCATCAAGAAAATGTTGGAAAAAGCTAAAGACAGATGGGTCGAAGAGCTGCCCAGTGTGTTGTGGGCTCATCGCACTACTCCAAGGCGATCCACTAAGGAAACGTCGTTCGCTTTATGCTTTGGAACCCAGGCAATCATCTCCCTGGAGATTCGCCTACCCACTCTGAAATCGAAGGTTTTTAACATGGGCTGTAATGACATGATGTTGGCCTTGGACTTGACTCTGATTGAAGAACGCCGAGACCGTGCCCTTGCTTTCATGGCGCAGTATCAGCAACAGCTCGCTAAATCATATAATCAACGCGTACAGCTGTGTCGTTATACACCTGGAGAATTGGTCCTCAAGAAAGTGCTTCCCGCTACTAGGAATCCCGCCAACGGAAAGTTAGGTCCCAACTGGGGTGACCCCTATCAGGTTGAATTAATCGCCAGAACAGGGGCATATCGGCTCAAAGACATGGCTGGAAGAAGTTTGCCACGTCCTTGGAATTCCACACATTTGTGCAAACTTTATCAATAAGCCGACTTGTACTGCATGATAGCTTGTTTTAAATTTTCGTTGTGTACATCTTTCATTTTCCTAATACAATGCCTTTTCTTTCCTATCTTGTGAATAATGGTTTGGTAACAAAAAGCCTCTGAATTCGGAGCCCCATCCGTGAATGCCACGTTTGGGTTGAATCAGCCTCCGAATTCGGAGCGCTCTTCGTGGATCTCACGATTCGCCAACACAAAGCCTCCGAATTCGAAGCCCCATCCGTGAATGCCACGTTTGGGCCGAATAAGCCTTCGAATTCAGAGTGCCCTTCGTGAATATCACGATTGGCCAACACAAAGCCTCCAAATTCGGAGCCCCATCCGTGAATGCCACGTTTAGGCCAAATAAGCCTCCGAATTCGGAGTGCCTTTCGTAGATATCACGATTAGCCAACACAAAAAGCCTCTGAATTAGGAGCCCTATCCATGAATGCTACGATTGGGCCGAATAAGCCTCTGAATTTGGAGCACCCTTCGTGGATCTCACGATTGGCCAACACAAAGCCTCCAAATTCAGAGCCCCATCCGTGAATGCCGCATTTGGGCCGAATAACCCTCCGAATTTGGAGCGCCCTTCATGGATATCACAATTAGCCAATACAAAAGCCTCTAAATTCAGAGCCCCATCCGTGAATGCCACATTTGGGCCGAATAAGCGTCCGAATTTGGAGCGCCCTTCGTGGATCTCACGATTAGCCAACACAAAGCTTCTGAATTTGGAGTCCCATCTGTGAATGCCACATTTGGGCTGAATAAGCCTCCAAATTTGGAGCGCCCTTCGTGGATATCACGATTGGCTAACACAAAGCCTCCGAATTCGGAGCCCCATCCGTGAATTCCATGTTTGGGCTGAATAAGCCTCCGAATTCGGAGCACCCTTCGTGGATATCACGATTGGCCAACACAAAAAGCCTCCAAATTTGGAGCCCCATCCGTGAATGCTACGTTTGGGCCGAATAAGCCTCTGAATTCGGAGTGCCCTTCGTAGATCTCATGATTGGCCAACACAAAGCCTCCGAATTCAAAGCCTCATCCATGAATGCCACATTTGGGTCGAATAAACCTCCGATTTTGGAGTGACTGTGGATGTCATGATTAGCCAACACGGAACAAAATATATGATTCAACAATATAGAAACTGGTATGGATTAGGGTACAATTACCACAAGCAAAAATAAACATTACATCGGAACAATATAGACAATGTTTACTTTATTACACAAAGCCTCAATACAAGACTTTCTACGAAATTAAGTGATACAATGCGATATATAAATTTATTGACATATAAATTTATTCGGCATCCTCTTCATCATCGATCTTCTCGGCATCATAAGCCTCGAAGGGAAACTTGTAATTCTGATATAGAGGTGGCAGCGCGTTAATTCCCACCCGCCTGCAGAGCCTTAGTCCACCCATACTTAAGCCCACGATTTTCACACTAGCAAACATCCTCAACTTACTTTTCTTTCTTCTTCTCGATACCAATTTTTCGGCCATCAAAAAAACCTTCATTGTAGGCCTTCGTTCTTATTACTTCTCTTGCGAACATGCTCGTCGTCTCTCGGTCGGCAATGGCATGATCTAAAAGTCGCTGATTTACCCTTTTCGCTACAATCGGGTTGACTTGACTGGCTGACCGCTTTTCAGAGGTTTTTGCCTTTTTTAATTTGTTCTCAACTCTTTCTATACGTTGTTCTAGGCTTTGAATGCAGTTGTCTTTCTTCTCTATCTCCCTTCGCATGGCATGAAGATGCATGTTGATTTCATAAGAGGAATATAGACCCTTCACCGCTCCATGGACGCTGTCTTGAAAAACTTCGTAGTCAAGCCAACCAACCATTGATTGTTGGACCTCGGGTGGAAAAATCTGTTGAACAAACTTGACCGCCACATTTAGGTCGTAGACGATCGAATCTGCTTTAGTTATCGATTTATTCCCAACGAAAACCAAAAAGCTCAACAGGCGCGGAGCTCTGCTCGGCTCACTTCACGCAACACTCTAACCATCAGTATGACTCCTTGATCCCCCTCATTGCTACACCCCATCCCTGGGAGACCTCACTGCGTCATCTCTTCTGGGGGACCGACTCCGATGCCTGGGAGACTGACATATCTTCCTCCCCTCCGTTGCTACATCCTCCGCTCTTTGCACTTCGCTTCCAGCAATACGATGCATTTCAGCGTCCAACTCAGCTAAACTTCTTGCTTCTCCTTTACTATTGAAGAATAGCCTCTCTAACATCTATGGCCTAACTCGCGTTTCTACTCTTTCTCCAATTATCGATTATCGCCGTTTGTGCCCGCAGCTTTTTAAATACTAAATACCTTGTTCATTAACTACAGACGCAGCACTTCCAATGTGCCCAACAGTTAGCCCCGCATCTTTCGTAGGGTCTGAAATATTTCTAAATGGACACATGCTACTCGGCACAGTAAGGGTATGACCAAATGAGGCAAGGGCATCACAATATTCACAAGTTGCGACCCGCAAAGGACACGGGTGATTCGGCGTTGTAACGGTATGCCCAAATGAGGCAAGGGCATCACTATAATTGGCATCAGATAATATAGCCGAACGACAATACATTACCTCATTTGGCTAGACGTTTAGCTTTGAGCCAAATATTTTGTTCTCGAGTTGTAACCCGCAAGGGACACAGGTTATTTGGCGTTGTAATGGTATGCCCAAATGAGGCAGGGGCATCACTATAATCGGCATTTGATAATATAGCCAAATGATAATACATTACCTCATTTGGCCAGACGTTTAGCTTTGAGCCGAATATTTTGTTCTTGAGTTGCAACCCATAAGGGACACAGGTTATTTGGCGTTGTAACGGTATGCCCAAATGAGGCAGGGACATCACTATAATTGACATCTGATAATATAGCCGAATGACAATACATTACCTCATTTGGCTAGACGTTTAGCTTTGAGCGGAATATTTTGTTCTCGAGTTGCAACCCGTAAAGAACACAGGTTATTTGGGGTTGTAACGGTATGCCCAAATGAGGCAAGGACATCACTATAATCGGTATTTGATGATATAGTCGAATGACAATACATTACCTCATTTGGCCAGACGTTTAGCTTTGAGTCAAATATTTTATTGACAAGTTGCAACTAGCAAAGTGCACAGGTGATTCGGTGTTAACTTGTCCTTGCTAACAAACTAGCCAAGAAACGTATACAATTTTATAAGCGAATTGAGCTGTGCTTTATTTTGACACTCTAATTAGTTATAACTATTGCACTCTCAAATTAACACACAGAAAATAGGCAAAAAGATGATTTTCATTAAAAAATTGAGTACAATCGGTCATCATTTCCCTCATGAAAATTGCTTTACAAAAATCTAGAAAAAATTACGTACAAGAAAATGCTAATCAAAAAACAAAATTACACTACTTATTCCTCAGGGTCAGACTCCAGCGGCTCAACCTCTAGCTGCTCATATGGAATTAGCTACTCCAATACCACATTAGCGGCTGCTAGAGCTTTGAGCCAGCTATGTTTGAATCCCTGATTCTCAAATTTAGGTACTTGCTCCACATATTTCTCCAAGGCAGCGATCTCACTAGCATTGAACGCTTTGGAAACCTCGTCGGCAATTTCTTTTGCCTTTCTCGATTCTTCCAAATCGACCTCCAGCTTCGTAATCGCTTCCTTGGCCAACTTTAGCACTTCTTCACTAACGCTTGCTCTATCTTTCGGCGACTCTGAGAAGATCCAAGTGTTTCACCTTCTCTTCCTCGGCATCGGCCCTTGCCTGCTCTTCCTCCGCTTTCTTGGCTTCAGAGTCGGCCCTGAGAGATGCCACTGCCAGTTCGGCCAATGCCTCTTTAGCCTTATTCTTTTCGATTTCAATTTCAGCTTTGAGAAAGACAATTTGCTCAACGGTGTCATAATGTTAGCGACCGATCTCTGCAATCCTGCCCACCGCCTGAAGCAAAGCACGCATAAGTTAATCGGCATAACAATAATGATAAAAATAATAGTAAGTGTACATACCAATACCGTCGACTGAGAAGCTAGTGTTATTAACACTATGTCCGGCTCTGTACGGAACGCAGCCCTATCAACTGGCAAGGATATCGATGAGGCCACACTTAGTGCCAGAGCGGGGTCCTTTAAAGTTGATGCGTCAGCAGAGACCAGCGTGTTCTTTATTTTGGGTTAGATAAGAAACGACGCCATGATATCCTGCGGTTCTTCCACGCGTAGCCGTTTGTCGACTAACTCTTCAAAAAGATCGGCTCCAAACTCGGCGGGGCATTTTTCCCCCCTCTGTTCGGCCAACAGATTGTCCGATTTCCCAATGGCCAACTCCTCCACAATAGCTTGCTTCATTTCGTCAACAATAGTTGGAGAAATTACAGCCTCAACCGGAGCCGGTGGAGCAGAGTCAGTCTGAACAGGTGGAGGGGGCTTAGACCTGGCGACCTCGGCCCTTCTTCGAGCTGGCATCTTCTCGACTTCCTCCAAATCGGTTTCGTTTGGTTCAGCGACCTGATCACGAACTTCACCTTGTTCCAAATCCGAATCTCTGACACCAATTTCCCTAAGGTTCTTGCAGTTCAGGAAAATAAGGGTCGTGAGCTGTTGTTTGCCCTTTGGAATCAGAATGTGATCCACAATCGAAAAAGTAGCGTATGTAGGTTTGTATCGCCACAGTATATGGGTTGTCCGCCCTTGTTTTTGAAGGTTAAAACGGGCCAAAAAATTCTAATGATGTTTTAACTTGTTGAAGTACGACGTCGTCGGCCAAAGGAAGTACTTTCTTCAAATCGTTACCTACATAAATTGAAATGATTAGTACATGGCATTAAACTTAAATGAACGTATAAGAAATGAGTGGAAAAATAGGACTACATGGCCACCTGGTTCGCCTTTTTGTCTAGGCACAGGATCTAGGCGATCTTCGCCCTCGCCGAATTCTCAGTTGCCTTGCACAACGACCATGACATTGTCAACACGCTTGCCAGAGTTGGCAAGCATAGTCACCAAATGGTGGTCAGTGTCCTTGACCCTAAGAAAGTAGCGTCCTTGTCAGCCAGAGAATTTGGCCAAGGCATAACAATGCCGAATAGTAGGAATTCCATGATTGAGCCTAAGACGGCGGTTTAATTCTACAATTCCCATTATGATTCGGTAAAAGTTTATGTTAGGCTGAGAAGGGAGTAGACCCTAATGGCAAAGGACGACCCTAAAAAATGAGTGAAGGGGGAAATAGACTCCACCCTCAGCGATTGATAGAAGAGGAAAGATGATTGTACTCGCATTGATCATCTCCATGTCAACTATGTTATCTGCCATGAATGACAGATGGACGTCGTCAGGAATAGAAAAATGGCGTCAAAAAACAGAAATACGATCCGCAGAAAGAATGGCTTTCAAATGTTTCGCCATCTGAGCCAAAATAGAAAGTACGCTAAATTAGAAACAAACAAGAAAATGGGAGTTGGAATGAAGAAGAGAAGAACTTACAAGGAGTAAAGAGGACAATGAGGAATGGGAAGAAGTTGCAGAGGTCATGAAATGAAAGAGGGATGCTGACAGGCAACCAAGAAAGGGCGGGAAATTACAATGATTTCTAAAAAGCGTGGATGTGCTGACGCTTCAGTAAGTGTAACCGCCGTATTTTTGACTCTCCGAGTTTAAGACCAAACATGCCGACTAATTGGCGTTAGTAGGATGTTTGGGGGGTAATTGTGGGAGCCGAATAAATTTATATTAAGGAAAGCCTAATCTATTTGAAGGAAATCAAGACAAATACTATTCGGCTCTCTCTTGGGGGGTCCTGAAGCCAAATATTTAAATCATCCATGGAATCAGCCGTACAAGAAGCTGAGTGGGAATCGACATATGACAGAAAGGCCGAATGAGCAGTTGTGCACTGGGTTAAAAGTTGGCTCGACCCCTAAGACCAGAGACTAGTATAAATAAGAGGAACATCAACCAAAGGGAGGTATGTGAGAATAGATTAAATGAACTTGAGATAGAAGAAAACTAGAGAGCATATACTAACTTATCCGTTGGAGTGCTAATTCAAGCACCCCTGACTGGAGTGTTCATCCTTTTTCAGGTGGCAATCAGAGGATCAGGAGCGTCCTACAGGATCCAAGAGTATTTCCAAACCACATTTCCACAATACTCATCCAGAATAAGAGGAAAAAAAAAATTCAAAGATATCAAAGAATATAGCACACAAATGGTGCAAATAAATTAATTTGATGAGACTCAACAACATACTATGGGTGTTTAATTATCAACTGAAAAATTAGATGCCATGTGAACAGCCTAACCTGTCTATTTTCATTTCTGTGCCTTTAATTACTTGATCCAAGAATGAGATTACAAAATGACGATCTGTTCCAGGATTCTTCTTTACCTACAAATTATTAAACTCCAAACTTGTCAGCCCCAGACTCCACAAATACATAATATAAAGGTAGCGTTACATGAAACACACTAACATCATATTCAATTCGGCGTCAAATCCATATGGATATAGACTATGCTATAAGGAATGAAGTCTAAAACTTTTGTTGAACTTTAATCTTAAAAATAGTCACTAGATTTTAATCTTAAGACCAGGATATAATGAATAAAAAAAAAGTGGTTAACGAATGTATGAGCAAACATAGATGAATTCTCAAGTGGGTTTTGACGTCTTTTTGTCTATTCACACAAACACACACAGAAATGTTAACATACTTAATTCCAACTACCTGCTTGAGAGACAATATATTCCGCTTAATAAATCGAGACAAAGCACAATTAGAACATCAATTAGTAATATTAGTACACTTTCAAGTTAAAACAAAACTTAAAAAAGTATAGGCTTTGTCCTGCCCAACCAAAAGCAAATGGAAGGTTGTTTCTAGATCCCAGGGGTACTATAGCAATTGGTGGTGTAAGAATTTATGTATTTATTGATTGATGAGTTTATGATTGATATATTCTATTACAAATCAGAGTGGCATTATATAGGAGAGGGTTTGGGAGAGGGTTTGGGTTAGTGAGTGGTGGTAGTGGATGGTAGTGGAGGTGGTGGGTGGTAGTGGAGATGGTAAGTGTGTTAGGTTTAGTGGGGTGGATGTAGTGGGTTAGGTTAGTGGGTTAGGAGGTGTACATTAACAGCCCCCCTCAAACTCAAGGAGGATAGGAACTAACCAACTTGAGTTTGAAGAGAGTAACAAAACAGAAAAATAAACTGATAAATAAAAATTAAAAAATGGGATAGGAGACACTGTATGTGATTTAAAATTTTAATAGATATACATCAAAAAAAAAAATAATTATATTATTAAATCATAATTCAAATTTAGATATTGTCATATCTTTTTGAGATTTATATTTAAATTCTTATCTTCTTTATTTTTATGTGGTTTCTATTTATTTTTTTTTCTTCAAATGATTTAATATGGAGTTGTGGGTTTCTATTTTTTTTAAAATTTAATTTATCTATGGTTTCTATTTGTTTTTAATTATTATTATTTC